AAGAGTTTCATACTCTTTAGTTAAACCCTGTATTTCTCTTTGGTTTCAATCATTCTAGGCGTTGAAGCTAATAACACGGTTGAACTTAATGCTATCCCTGTATCCATTGATACTTTAGGTCTTGCACCTCCGAAATAAATTTCTCTATCAGAAGAATCACGTTTATCCATTTTTTTAACAATTTAATCAAAGTTGCTTTATTTACACACAAGAAATATTTTATTCCATTTGCAATAATCCTCTCACACAATATTATCTGAATATTACTATAAATCCACAGAATAGAATTTGCGAAAATACATTGTTAAATTTCAAATAGCACATCAATTCTTATAAGAGAAATAAACTAATCCATGTTAATAATATCCACACCGCTGCCACCCAAAATTGTATCGTGACCGAGGGGAAGAACGACAACGACACAGACGGACGGACATAACCATACTATGGCACGACAATGTATCCTGTGGTAATTTCCAGTAACTAAATAATGCGATATATATTTACAAGTTTATTAACAAATGTACATTACTTCCGACTTATTGACAAAGTTAGCTACAAAGTTAAAACATATAAACTTTAAATACAAGTCCTCCAGAATCTACTGATTCAAGACTTCAAGGAAAATCACATCCTTCCAGTATCACAGCTGATAAACAATCTGCCAGTCTCTGACCAACTGACCTTTATCATAGAGTTTAATTACTGCATCTCTAGACAAACAAATAGGCATATTTAATTTTATTACCCTACACCCCAAGACATTGCTACTTGTCTTTATTACATCTGACAGTTTAACTTTAACTGCAGATAATAAAACTAGCCATTTGTCAAATTAGCCTTGCGTCATTAATTTTCTCTGTACACAAATAAACAGTTATAAAGCCAATTTAACCAGAGGTCAATATTTACAAAACATTAAAATATAACAATAGGGACTGAGTTATTTGGGTTACGAAATTTGCTAAAAGCTGACATTTTATGTTGTCCAACTGTTCTGGAAATTTTACGATTGATCAATACCAACTAACCATAATATTCCTTTCTTGTTCTTACTACTTTATATAAACATGTCTATATGCCTGGAACAAACAGCATTAATTTTGTATTTCAAAAGTGGCTGGTGATTAGCTGAATTTCACATGAGTAAAATCATGTTTGTTAATTATTTAAGAAACACAATTACTGTTCTTAAAAGGAATTCGAAAGTCTAATTGGAAGAAATAATTACAAGTTTAGTTTCAATATTTCGGAATTCACATTATTTGTACCTTAGACAACAATACAATGATGGTTGCTAGGCATTTTATAACTATACGAAAATGGCTGCTAAAGTCTATGTTTCCAATATTGACCCCTTATCTTTCAATAAGAATCTATATTATAGTTTATATTAATCCGAACCCAACTATGTATGGTTCTTTTATATCAAATAAGGGTCGTTGCCAAGAATGTATGACATGACCTTGACCTCCAACTTTTGCTTTATTACCAAATAAAAGCAATAATCATTTTGAAGACTTTATATATATACTGTATGGGTTGATTTGTTACATTTTCTTAACAAAAATGAACAAATCTAATAAAAAAGACTGAAGGTCAAAGGTCAAGGTCATCAATTTTGGTCTTTGAATGCACAACATGTGTCAAGTCATTTTCATCCTTTATCTGTCACTGTTTTTGAGCAATTCTAAAAACAATGTCAAAATTCTTTTACAAAATAACAAAAATGATAATTTTATGTTCCCATAGCAACCACCCCAGCAACCAATTTCCCAAACCTTTGATTATAAATTATTCCTGGGCAACAGTGATAGTTTGCATATATTACTTCCATATAATTGGTTGTGATGCAAAAGTGTGAAATTATGTCATTCAAAATGCCTATAATTTGACTTTTTGAATACATTGAAAACTCTATTATTTAAATCAGTGATACCCCCTTCTCCCCTTTTTACCAGAATTAGTTTTCATCTTTCATCTTACTCAATAAGTGTTATATTTCAATTAACAAAAGTCAAAATATTCATCAAAATTGAAATATGTGCATGATAACTGCTTAAAATTGGTCATTTTTTGTTCGTTAAAATATGCATTTTTGGGGCAAAAACCAAGGGGACCCGTTACCATGGCAACGGGGACATTAAAAAAATTGTCAATATATTTTTTGTTTGTTTATCAATAGCTAACAACAAACAAAATTTCAAGAAAATCTGAGACTATGTGTGCCGCATCTTGGTTGGTGGTTACAGAGAATTGCTATCAAAACGAAAACGTGGTGATTGCATGATTACTGAAATAATATCAGTATGTTTTTAACGGATCTTATATAAATAAGTTTGCCTTTTGTTGGATTAAATACCTCTATTTTGCTCATCTGTCGATACCTGTATCTTGGCATCGCACACGGTGATGCCTTTCTCTGACTGTTGATGACGTCTTTACACAAACTCTATTGGACGTGTACGGCTTTTTATATATATATATGACTAAGATGTATCGATCTGATGAGTTAAGCCCTTTTCAAATGATTTTTAAAGTATGTTCTTATTATATACTGTCACACCTCTGTACCAAGTAAGTAGAATAGTTTAACCCCCCCCCCCCCCCCCCCCCCCACACACACACACACACATTCTGTAATTGCCTGTCCTATGCCAGGAGCATGTAATTCAGTGGTTTTCGTTTTTTGCTAATATCATATTTGTTTTGTACATAAATCAGGTCGTTAGTTTTATCGTTTTTAATTGTTTCACATTTGTTATTTTATGGCTGACTATGTGGTATGGATTTTTCTCATTATTGAACGCCGTACGATGACCTATAGTTGTACTAGGTCATTTGGTCTCTGTTGGAGAGTTGTGTCAGTGGCAATTATATCACATCTTCCTATTTCTATATAAAGGTATTTTTTCTTAATAGTCCAACTTTTTTTGTTTTATGTAAACGTTTGTATTTAGGAACGGACAAATTATACTTTGTGAATAGCAGAATTATTTAGAGTGTACATAAAAAATATCAATTGTGATTTCATGCTTTTGGACTTAAACAAAAGTAGGATCTTACAATTTGTGTCTCGCAATATATTCGATAGTTCAACGCCATGCAAGAAGTTTAAACGCAAATAGATAATTATTTTTGTGGCATGTGAATGACCAAAACATACCGGATGATCCTATGTTTTTAATGTTGCAAACAATAGGGCTACATTTGTACGTCAACTAATGAATGATATATCAAAGCTCCTGATTGCTAAAGGTAAACCAGGAATAAATTTAAATTTTTAGATCTCTTCCCCATGTTAAGTTTGCAGATTAAGATTTAGAAATTAAGCACTTTTCATGTATTTTTAACATTTGAATAATCTGACCGTATGAAGACATGTTTTCAAACAATTCTTTGCATTTCTTCAATCAATTTGGCATTTTTTTCTACTCAGTTGTGGCTGTCAAGCTTTGGAGGAAAAAAAAACTGAAGTTAGGATAACAGGAATTACTGCAGAGTGTTTGTCAGTTACAGTTTTAGAAATTTACAAGTAATTAAAACACAGATTTAGTAAAATGAAACATAATTGTTGTTGATTTTTTTTGTATGAAACTGGTTGAAAAGCCTTTGAAAAGCCTTATGGGTTTTTTCCAGGGTATATAACTAAAACTTCCATATTAGGCATAATTGAACTAAAAGTACACCAAGACTTTAGTTCCTAGATGCACTTGCAATACTGGTCAAAGCAAACACAGAAATCAATTCATATTTATTGAGCATATTATTTTACATCATTCGTTTAAATTAGTCAATGGGCAACTTTATTTACAAAATACATATTGGCCGCATTATGGGACAAAGTATACGTTTTCCTCTATCATTTATGAATCTTGTACTGAAACTGAAACTTGATAATTGGTTCAATTACATGATCAATACAAACAAAAATAGGAAATGAGGAAACAATTTCTCTTATAGAGGTAAATTAAGTGAATGCATAAACGTCATAAAGGACTGCCCATTTGGGCGAGAGCTCTCTGTATAATAATGAAGTCTTGTGCTCTTTTGATTGGAGGTTAATGTTTGGACAAAATATTTTTGTGATAGATCGATCAAAACTAGGGTTGAAAAATATGCTGAATGCACTTTTTTTTTCTACTTGTTTTAAAAGTAATGGGGATGAGTATAAAAAATTTAGTGTTAATCTACAGTTTTTGTAAACAAGGCAATGTCAATGGCCGAAAATGCCGCAAGACCCTACGTTTTTAATGTTGCAAAAGATATAATGAATAACCCGCGTTATGACGTCACGGTCAAATGACAAAATTATGTCTGTGAGATGATAGACAAATAACTATCAGCCAATCAAGACGTGTTACATACAAAATTGAATTAGATATAGATGGAGAGAGAAATATATGCAAAACATATATGCATTGATCATCAATTGCACACTTGATGAAATGAAAATGAAGAACATAAACTAGTATGTCCCTTACACAATCATTTTAGAAAAAAAAATCTACATAAAAAGATGATAACATTTCAGAGCGTTTAAGATACATACTAAGTTCAATTCCTTTTGTATTCAATAGAACTTAAATCTCTCATAAAACACCTAATGTTCATGCTTCATAAGTTAATGTTGTTTTTTGAGGTTTGATCTTATTGATTTTATTGAAATACTAGATTCGTATAAGAATTTTTATTGTAAAACAATGACATGCAATTAGAAGACAGAACTTAACACAATCCAATGCGACTATTTTAAGTTAAAAAAAAAAAGAAGAGAAAAATATTCAGCTTATTATATCATAGGAGAGCAAAGCAGATTATTTTTAAATTATTTATCCTTAATATTCATAATTGCATAGACGTGTTACAAGAATTATGTATCTTTAATATCATAGTTATAAAATAGACCCTATGTTTGCTTATAATATCGATACTTATTAGTTGATAACATTTAAATAATTAACCGTTAAAGATTTGTAAAAATATTAAATCAGACTTACTTTTTGCAAGCATACGTGTATGTATACTAACTGTCCTTTTGGTTGTACCGTCTGTCTCCATCTTGTTACATTGATTTTTTTTTACCGCGGACTGACACGTATATTTATAATTTCAGATTTTTTCCGCTCATAGAGTTTATTCATAATTTAGATTTTTTTTCCGCTTTTCAGTCTATCTTATTGTGTTATGCAAATGTAATGTATGAACTTTCAAATGCAAGTAGAAATCTGACCAGACGTGATAGGAACTCTTTCGGTTTTTAAATTATATGATGAGTATTGACAAAAAAAGTGAAAAACATGATTAACAAATATTTAGCTATAAATAATCATTGGGAAATATTATTTCTATTTATAGATATTCAACACTAGAACGTATGTCCTTGTACCTACAACGTTAAAACTTGTATTCTCAATTAAATGTTAACTTGTTTTTCTTTAGATTCGAATTTTTGATTTTATTGTTTCATTAGTACAAATTAATCATATTAATAAAGATCCGTCTACTTGGTCTATTGAAACATTCATATGGCATTCGTTAGCCGTTCACATGGCTTAATTTAAAAACAATGTAAATTCACATTTAATTCCTACACTGACCCCTATTACTTTTAAAAACTGAACTTAAAAAGTTCATTCAGCGTCAATGTGTGTACTAAGAACATACATTTTACTGTTTGGGAAAGATAAATGCATGAGAAAGTCACATATATTTGTATGAAGTTTTCAAATGGTTTGTCACTTTGATAACATGACGGGCGCCACAAAAGAAGCAGAATTGAATGACCTTCTGGAGCACCTGCGATCTAGCCAGGTTTTTGTTGGGTTCGTGTTGCTCAGCCTCTGGTTTTCTTTAAAGTGTTTTTGGCTGTTGCTTGTCTATATGTTGATCTGTTCACTGTTTGTCATTGCCATGATTGCGTTGTCAGTTTTTCTTTGACTTATGAGTTCGGAATGTCCCAATAGGTTTCTTCCTCCCCGTTTTACTTAGGTTATCAAACATCAGACTCAATATGCTGGCCATGGACAAAATCAATGTCTTCACACTACATTATAATAATACCATCCTGAATATTTATCATTTGTATGTTATATATTTAGCTTGACGTGAACCAATTAATAGTTATTTTACATTTTCATATCACAAACCAGTTTTAGCACAAAGTGACAATGGATCAGAAAATTCCTTTTTGAATAAAGATGAAAGTCTTTTCTTAATTATGTGTGGTATTTTTTTTCTATAATGTGTGGTATTTTTTTCTCTATAATATGTGGTATTTTCCATTTACCAAAAATCAAATTCAATTTTCTTCGACCGGTAGTTAGAAACAATAAACATATGACATATGTCTCAAACATGTAAATATTTATTTGAATAAGACATGAATGAGAATCAAACATGTCAAATACATATAATTTGTCATTAATAAAAGATGTTAATAATCGAGCAAATGAAACATCTATTACAAGGTTACAAGCACATAAAGAACGAACAAATAGTATTGACTTTATTCCTAGCTACTTACGATCCGTCGTTTCCAAAAACTTTCAACAAAAATCTAATCTTTAGATTCTATTTAAAACAAAATTGAAAAAATTGTTAAACGACATTTCCATCATTTACAGCAGAATATAACTTGAAAATGATAAAGACAAGTTCGACACGGATGAAAAGGTATTAAACTTCATTGTATGTAGAGACGCACGATGTTCTATAGAAAATTACGATTATTTAAACTAGGAATTAAAAAAGCGTTCAAACTCAAAATTTGTAAATCATATGCAAACATGGCATGCAGGTCTGAAACTTTTTAATCGTAAAATTAGCCCCAATTGACAAGAGAACTATATTGGACAAACTGGAAACAGTATTTGCGAAAGAGGCAGCATTTACAAGCATTAAATCCAACAAACATGTTACAGAAAAATCCCGTGTATACATTTAGAAACATTCGCTTGAGGAAAATTATATTATTGATCAGTCTCCTCAAAGAAATAGGTAAAGAAACTGGATAAAAAAAATATTAAAATATTTCACATTAAGTTTGATGGCAAGTTAACTCTCCTATGAACCTGTGTCAAATCTTACTTCATGTAACAGAGATATGGTCCTCCTTTAAGGACGGTGTTCATAACAGCGCAATAGTCTTGACAAGTCCCAAGATGGAGGAAATCGCAAAAATGTCAAAACGTTTCTTGCTTCATAATTTTAGTGAAATATATAATTCTTGACACTGTTTCAAATTCTTTTAAGTAAGTACGTTTGTATCTCTCTCTCTCTCTGTACACAATACAAAAATTAATTGTACGCCTGAAAAAGTGTCCAAAACAACACTAATATCACAAAAAGGAAACAGATATCCTTCATCAGTATAATTATAGTGATGTAAAATGAATCATATTAATCTATTCGGATTTATAGGTTGCACTTAGTAAATACAGCTGTTTCACAAACCACGCCTCTTTTGGGGAAATATATGATATTTATGGATATTTTGTTTTGTTTACGTACTGGTTCCCAGATATGATCTCTATGTTTCATCTCGTAGAGACATAACTTGGGAATGTTACCAGTAAACATACACATGGTTGCGGTGAATCTTGAATTCTGAGAAAGACTCAAAGTGAAGGAAGGGGTAGTACAGAATTTAAGTATTAGTTTAAACTCTTATAAGTTCAGGGGATATACATGTTGAAAATATGCCGCACATCCCTATGTTTTGACCTTTGGATAAAATAGTCGTGCATATCAACTTTCCATTCTAGGATATAATTTTTTACGAAACTTCATAGTAAAAGTGGCACAGTTTTAGCCGTAAAGGGAGGTCCTATGGGAAATTGCATTGTCTTTATTTACAGAAGTGCAACCTATAACTAAAACAACATGTACCGTTTTACAACTAAAAACGGCGAACAACGCTTATATAGTTATAAAATTTAAAAAATGACTTACAATTAAAAAGAATAGAAATGTGCTATATGAACTGGTGCAATTCTAAAATTTTACAGGTGACGAAAGTTTTCAATTTATGAGTTTGAATGTCCCTTTTGGTATCTTTCACCTCTCTTTTAAGTGATAACAACATAGGCTGTTTATTGATACATCCAAAATTAATAGCTCTATTTGATTTGAACTGGTATGATTTTTAAATTTCAAATTTTGACGGAGGATTAGTAGTTACAATTAAGCTGCATATTTAAACATACCAAATGAATAGTTCCATGCGATTTAAACCACTATGAATCTATAATGTCATAGTTGACGATAGTAAAGGACTTACAACAGAGGCTGTGTAGTGATACTACCCAAATGAATAGCACTGCGCGATTAGAACTACAGTTTTTTTATTGATGACGTTTGTTGACAACGTTTATAATGTTTTTTATCCAAAATCATTCCCGAGTGAATCTCCGCTCCCTAGACCAAGCAGTGTTATGGTCTATAATGGTAATAGTCAGTCGACTGAGAGGAAGGTCTTGCTTGCATTAATAGTCACTAAGAAGGACGTTAATACGTTTGGGAAATGGCTGTTCTGACTCACCAACATACCGTTTACTACATTTACTCTGCAGAAGATACGCGGCATTTGAATAAAATATGGCGTATTCTGTAGAAGTAAAGTGACTTCAAAAGTCTAAGTTTTCAGTCTTTGCTTGCAAGTCAGACATCGTTGCTTTCCACACCCCTTGCAAGAGCCCACTGACGAAGTGACAAAGAAAAGTCTACAGAAAGCCAGCACGGGATGCTCGGGGAAGATCTTGTTTAGTTTAGGATGTTTTTCGATTTCTTTTCAATTGTCGCTGATAAGGTGTGATAACTTTTGAATACTGGTGTATATTTATTCTTTCCGATATGTTTTTCGCAAGCTGACTTGATGAAGGTATTCAGAGAAAAAAAATGTCGTAAGAATACTAACTTGCTTACTGTTTTACCGTTTAAACGGAAAATATAAATATATATATATAATAACGGTTTTGACTGAACATGCAGAGTTGTTTTCAATCTTAAGCGTTTGATCTTGGTAACGAGCAATCAAGTCGTCTATAAAAACTGTGTAACTAGCAACCCTGTTTCTGCATATAAAATATTCAATTAGTTGGTTTGCCCCCTCGTGTGCCTTGCAGGCGAAAGTTTTAACTGATATGATAATTTCGAAAATAATGATTAAGTGAAAAAATAAAATTATAGTCCATTAGTTACTACGATAATAGCAATCAACCGAAAACGGCAAATAAGATGTTCATGAGTACGAGCTTCTGATCCAAACATCAACTTACCAGGCTTGTAATTTCATTCCAATTATTTTCCCTTATTAAACTATATCAGTTAATAAGAGACTACACAAAGTAAAAATTGGAGGAATATATCAATGAAACAATCACGATAATAATGTCAAAAAAAACAACAAAAATAAACACAATGACAAAAGAGAACTAACAGATAAACCGAGGAAGCAAAACACCTTACAAAAAGCCAAAGATTCAACAACACGAACCTTACTAGCGGATTCGTACATGTATGTTATCTTATCCATTTTGTAAACCTTGGTTGAATTTGAATCATACAAACCGAATATACGACGAAGTATGGAAGTTTAGAATGAAAAGAGTTTTTTTTCTAATTACATATTGAGTGGCAAATATTGTGCTCCTTACAACAACTAAGAAGTTTAGTATATAAAACATAATATATGTCAGAGCATGGCAAAATATTGAAAGTCCATCAACAACTCCATTAAACACCACACGATAGAAAACTAAAATATAACCAATAATTCCATGCTAAAACCAGGTCATGCTTTCCATGAGTGAGAACCCGGGAGACGCTGACGGAAAGCATATGAAACAAATTCCTGTGGGCACCAATTGCACCCCTTTAATAGAAGACATGTTCTTGTACTGTTCTGAATCAGAGTTTATAGCCAAACTTAGTAAAGACCAATCTAAATTGCATTTAATTGATAAATTTAACAAAGCTTACCGCTATTTTGATGATATTTTACGTTAAACAGTCAATAATTTTCTAAATAGACTGCCGAAAATTACCCAAAGGAAATTACTTT